GCAAGGGATATAAACCTGTTTGAAAAAATGATAAAAAACTTCCTTAACTTGGTGAATGAAACAGTCACACAAGTTCAGGAAGCACAGAGGGTACCAATAAAGAACCCAAAGAGGCCCACTCCAAGACACATCATAATTAAAATGGCAAAAATTATAGACAGAGAAATCTTAAAGGCAGCAAGGGAGAGACAGCGGGTAACATACAAGGGAGATCCAAAAAGGCTATCAGCTTATTTCTCAACAGAAACACTACAAGCCAGAAGGGATTGGCACAAAATATTCCAAGTAATGAAAAGCAAGGTCCTGCAACCAAGACTACTCTATCCAGCAAGGCTCTCATTCAAACTTAAAGGAGAAATAAAGAGCTTTCCAGTTAAAAAAAAAAAAAGTGGCTAAAAGAGTACAGCCCTACCAAACCAACATGCAAGAGATGCTTAAGTGACTGCTTTAAGAAGAAGAAATAGAGAGAGACAAAGACCAAGAGAGAGATGGGGAGAGACACACAGGTACATACAGAAAAATGGCAATGAATATACATCAATAACAACTTTAAACCTAAATCGATTAAATGCCCCAATCAAAAGACATGTAGTTGAATAAATAAGAAAATATGACCCATACATAAGCTACCTACAAGAGATCCACCTCAGAACAAAAGATTCACACAGGCTAAAAATGAAGGAATGGAAAAAATATTTCATGCAAATGGATATGGAAAAAAGGCTGGGGAAGCAATTCTTGTACCAGACAAAATATACTTCAAAACAAAGCCCATAACAAGAGACAAAGGTCATTATATAATACTTAAGAGATTAGTCCAATAAGAGGATATAACATTTATAAACATATATGCACCCAAAATAAGAGCACCTAAATATATGAAGAAAATCCTGGAGGACTTTAAGAAAGAGATTGACAGCAATGTAGTCATTTTAGGAGATTTTAACACTTCATGTCAACAATGGGCAGGTCTTCCAAACAAAATAAATCAACAAGGATATTACAGCATTGAATGACACTCTATCAAGTGGACCTAATTGATATTTAAGGACATTTCACCCCAAAGAAGTAAAATATACATTCTTTTCAAATGCACATGGATCATTCTTGAAGATAGATCACATGGTAGGGCACAAAACAAACCTTAACAAATTCAAGAAAATTGAAATCATACCATCTTCTTATACCCCAAATGCTTGAAACTAGAAACTAACCTCAAGAAAAAAACTAAAAAATATTCAAGTACATGGAAGCTGAATACCATGATATTAAATAATGAGTGGGTTAACAAGATGATCAAGGAAGAAATCTAAAAGTACCTGGAGACAAATGAAAATGAACACACCCAAAACCTATGGGACACAGCAAATGTAGTCTTGAGAGGAAAGTTAATAGCATTATAGGCTTAAGATAGAAAAATCTCAAATAAACAACTTAACCCTACAGCTACAAGAAGTAGAGGAATAGCAACAAACAAAGCCCAGAGTGAGCAGGAGGAAAGAAATAATCAAGATCAGGGCAGAATTAAATACAGAGAGACTAAAAAAAACCAGTTCAAAGGATTAATGAGTCCAGGAGCTGGTTCTTTGAAAAGATAAACAAAATTGCAAACCTGTAACCAGATTTATCAAGGAAAAAAGAGAGAAGACCCACATAAATAAAATCAGAAATGAAAGGGAGAAGTAACAACTGATACCACAGAAATACAAAGGATTGTAAGAAATTACTATGAACAATTATAAGACAAGAAATTGGACAACCTGGGCAAAATAAATGACTTTCTAGAAACATACAATCTTCCAAAACTGAATCAGGAAGACAAAGAAAACCTGAAGAGACCAATAAAAACTAGCAAAATTTAAGCAGTAGTCAAAAAACTCCCAGCACACGAAAGCCCTAGAGCAGATAGTTTCACAGGTGAATTTTACCAAACGTTCAAAGAACAACTAACATTTATCATTCTGAAACTATTCCAAAAAATTCAAGAAGAGGGAAGATTCTCAAATTCTTATTATGAGGCCAGTATTATCCTAATTCAAAAGCCAGGTAAAGACACAACAAAGAGAAAAATACTATAGGCCAATATCATTGATGAACATAGATGCTAAAATCCTTAACAAAATATTGGCAAAACAGATCCAAAAATACATTAAAAATATCATACACCATGATCACATGGGATTCATCCCAGGGATGGAACGATGGTACAATATTCACAAATCAATAAACATAATACATCATATAAAGAGAATGAAGGACAAAACTCACATGATCATATCAATAGATGCTAAAAAGTATTTCATAATTTCTAGCAACAACTTATGATAAAAACGCTCAGAAAAGTAAAAATAGAGAGAGCATACTTCATAATCAAGGACATATACAAAAAACCTTCTGCCAGCATCATACTCAATGGGCAAAAACTAAAAGGGTTTCCCCTAAGATTGGGAAAAAAACAAGGGTACTCTCTTTCACCACTTTTATTCAACATAGTATTGGAAGTTCTAGCCCAGAGATCAGATAAGTAGAAATAAAAGGCATCGGAATTGAAAAGGAGGAAGTAAAACTGTCATTATTTGCAGACAACATGATAGTGTACATGGAAAACCCTATAGACTTCACAAAAAAAACTACTTGACCTAATAAGTGAATTTGGCAAAGTAGCAGAATACACAGTCAATATTCAGAAATCAATGGCACTTTTGTACACCAAAAATGAACTATCAGAAAAAGAAACTAAGAAAAAAAATCTCATTTACCATAGCAACAAGAAAGAAAAGTTCCTAAGAATAAATTTAACCAAGGAGGTAAAGGACTTGTCCTCAGAAAACTATAAAACACTGAAGAAAGGAAATGAGGAAGATGCAAATAAATAGAAGTACATACCCTGTTCATGGACTACAATAATTAACATCATTAAAATGTGCATACTACCCAAAGCAATCTACAGATTCAATGCAATTCCTATTAAAATATCAATGGCATATTTCAGAGATCTGGAACAAATACTCCAAAAATGTATATGGAACCAAACCAAAACAAAACAAAACAAAACAAAACCCCAAAAACCCAAACAGCCTCAGCAATCTTGAAAAAAAGAACAAAGTTGGAGGAATCACAACACAAGATATCAAACAATACTACAAGGCCATTTTAATCAAAACAATCTGGTACTGGCATAAGATCAGACATATAGATCAATGCAACAGAATAGAGAGCCCAGCATTAAACTGATTTTTCTATGGTCAATAATTATTTGACAACGAGGACATGACCATACAATAGAATAAAAATAGTCCCTTCAATAAATGGTTTTGGGATAGATAAAGACAGAACAAAGAAAAAAAACTACAGGGCAATATTGCTGATGAACGTATACACTAAAATCCTCAAAAGAATATTGCCAAACCGCATCTAGCAATACATTAAAAAGATCATCCACCATGATCAAATGGGATTCCTCCCAGCGATGCAAGGATGGTTCAATATTGGCAAATCGAGAAACGTAATATATCACATAAAAAGAAAGACAAAAACCACATGATCATCTCAATAGATGTGGAAAAAGCATTTGATAAGATATAGCACCCATTTATGATAAAAACACGCAGCAAAGTTGGAATAAAGGGAACAGACCTCAGCATAATAAAGGCCATATAAGAAAAACCTACAGTGAATCTCATACTCACTGGGCAAAAAATTAAACTTTCCCACTAAGATCAGGAACAAGACAAGGACATCCACTTTCAGCTAGCAGCTGACTTCTCAACAGAAACACTACAAGCCAAAAGGGAATGACAAGAAATATTCCAAGTAATGAAAAGCAAAGTCCTGCAGCCAAGACTACTCTACCCAGTAAGGCTCTCATTTAAAGTAGAAGGTGAAATAAGGAGTTCCCCAGACAAAAGAAGACTAAAAGAATACATCTCCACCAAACCAGCACTAAAAGATATGCTAAAGGGACTGGTTTAAGAAGAGGAAGCAAAAGAGTGAGAAAGAGAGGTTCACAGGTACAAAGGGAAAAAATGAATAACTACCTATCAATGATAACTTTAAATGTAAATGGATTAAATGTCCCAATCAAAAGACACAGGGTAGCTGAATGGATAAGAAAACATGACCCACACATATCATGTATACAAGAGGCCCACCTCAGAACAAAGGACCTACACAGATGGAAAGAAAAGGAATGGAAATAAAATATTCCAAGTAAATGGACAGGGGGGGGGAAAACAGGGGCAGCAATTCTTATACTAGACAAAATAGATTTCAAAACAAAGGCCATAAAAAGAGACCCAGAAGGACACTTTATAATACTCAAGGGAAGAATCCATCAAGAAGACAAACATTGTAAACCTGTATGCACCCAACACAGGAGCACCCAAATATATAAGGAAAATCTTGGAGGACTTCAAGGAAGATAGAGACAGCAACACACTGATAGTAGGGGATTTTAACACCCCACTGCCAGAAAAGGATATCCCACAAACAAAATATCAACAAGGATATTGTGGAACTGAATAACCCATAAGAGCAAATGGATTTAAATGACATATACAGAACCTTTCATCCCAAAGAAGCAAAACACATATTCTTTCAAATGCACACAGAACATTTTGAAATATAGACCACATGATAGGACACTAAACAAGACTCAACAAATTCAGGAAAATCTAAATGATAACAAGCATTTTCTCGGACCACAAGGGCTTGAATCTAGAAACCTACCTCAAGGAAAAAACTCAAAAACATTCAAACTCATGGCAACTGAATAGTACACTATTAACAATGAATGGGTCAATAATGAGATCAAAAAAGAAATCAAAAAGTTTCTGGAAACAAATGAAAATGAATATACAACAGTCAAAAACCTGTGGGACACAGCAAAGGGAGTCCTGAGAGGAAAGTTCATAGCAATACAAGCCTACCTAAAAAAGATAGAAATATTTCTAATAAATGACCTAACCCTTCAGCTTCAAGAACTGGAAAAACAGGGAGCTGGGATGTCTAGGTAGGCCGTGATGGCGGTGGCTGGTTGGGCACGAAAATTCTGAGCTATGTATCTCTAGGAAGAGGAACACTAATTCAGAAGAAGAGAGTAGACTTTGTTAAGAATACATTCGGTTCTTCACCATGAGGTTAGGAAAACTTAAGGGAGATATGTCTCGGAGCTCAAACCAAGGAAAGACCTCTGAGAACCAGCGCAAAATAGGCCGGCAGCGGCAGAAATGGGGAATGACTGTTCGGTTTGACTCAAGCTTGAGTAGACTAAGGAGAAGCTTGGATGAGAAGCCCTATAAATGTACTGAATGTGAAAAAAGTTTCAGTCAGAGCTCAACCCTCTTTCAACATCAGAAGATCCACACTGGAAAGAAATCCCATAAATGTGCTGATTGTGGGAAAAGTTTCTTTCAGAGTTCTAATCTCATTCAGCATCGATGGATCCATACTGGGGAAAAGCCCTATAAATGTGATGAGTGTGGAGAAAGGTTTAAACAGAGCTCAAACCTCATTCAGCACCAGAGAATTCATACTGGAGAAAAACCCTATCAGTGTGATGAATGTGGCCGATGTGTCAGCCAGAGTTCCCACCTTATTCAGCATCAGAGAACCCACACAGGGGAGAAGCCCTACCAGTGCAGTGAATGTGGCAAGTGCTTCAGCCAGAGCTCTCATCTTAGGCAGCACATGAAGGTGCACAAAGAAAAGAAGCCTCGCAAAACTCCAGGCAAAAATATTAGGTCAAAAACTCATTTAGTATCATCTTGGAAAGCTGGTGCAAGAAGGAAGTCAGTGGCTCGTATTCGCTAAGTAAGAGGTGCTGTTTCAGCCCTGTTAAAGAGGGAAAAAACAAAACAAAACAAAAATAACCTCTCTTTTAGAACTAGAGATACTTTGTAATAGAGCGCTTAAATACTGTATCCTTTCCTAGCATGGAAACTCTGGGAGTTTAGTGACATTGGGTGGAAAGAAATTACATGAGTCCAATGGTCCTCTCATTTCTTTTATGTAACCAGGTGTGCGAAGAACTGAAAATACGTTTTGAGAGACTATAAGATCCTTGACCTCACTTGAAAGTGCTTTCTGCATAATTTTGACAAAAACAATAATGTTTTAATGATATGTAAAAATGTAGGAATTTCAGTGACTACCCAGTTTTAAGACTTTGTGTTGTAGGGGTAATTAAAAGGGAAAAGAAGTTAATCACATTGGTTTCGGAATTCTGTAATAGATGAGGAAATTTTATGATTGTAAAGTTTTGTAGTGTATTAATCATCAGTTTGTAATTGTGACTTAATATTCACTATATTAAAATTATTCATGTTCACAGTTGTTAAAGGAATAGAAAAAAAAAAAAAGAACTGGAAAAACAACTACAAACAAAACCCAGAGTGAGGAGAAGAAAGGAAATAATCAAGGTCAGAGCAGAATTGAATGACAGAGACTAAGGATCAACAAGGCCAGGAGTTGGTTCTTTGAAAAGATAAATAAAATCGACAAGCCTTTAAGCAGACTCATCAAGAAAAAAAGGGAGAGGACCCAGATAAATAGTATCAGAAATGAAAGAGAAGAAATAACAACTGATACCACAGAAATACAAAGGATTGTAAGTGTTTACTATTAACAATTATAGGCCAAGAAATTTGAAAACCTCGACAAAATGGACAAATTTCTAGAAAAATATAACCTTCCAACACTGAATGAAGAAACAGCAGAAAGCCTGAACAGACCAATAACAGCTGGGGAAATTGAAGATGTAATCAAAAAACTCCTGGCACACAAAAGCCCTGGACCAGATGGTTTCACAGGAGAATTTTACAAAACATTTAAGGAAGAGCTAACCCCTGTCCTTCTCAGACTATTCCAAAAAATCCAAGATGAGGAAAGACTCCCAAACTCTTTTGATGAGGCCAGCATCACCCTAATCCCAGATAAAGACCCTTCAGAGAAAGAAAACTACAGGCCAATATCGCTGATGAACACAGAGACTAAAATCCTCAACAAAATATTGGCAAATCACATCCAGCAATACATTAAAAAGACCATCCACCATGAGCAAGCAGGATTCATCCCAGGGATGCAAGGATGGTTCAATAGTCACAGATTGATAAATGTAATACATCATATAAAAGGAAAGACAAAAACCATATGATCATATCAATTGATGCAGAAAAAACATTTGATGAGGTACAGCATACATTTATGATAAAAACACTCAGCAAAGTGGGAATAAAGGGGACAGACTTCAACATAATAAAGGCCATATATGAAAAACCTACAGCCAACATCATACTCAACAGGCAAAAACTAGCAGCTTTCCCACTAAGATCAGGCACAAGACAAGGATGTCCACTTTCACCACTTCTATTCAAGATAGTATTGGAAGTCCTAGTCACAGTGATCAGACAAGAAAAAGAAATAAAAGGCATCCAAATTGGAAAGGAGGAAGAAAAACTATCATTGTTTGCAGATGACATGATAGCGTACATGGAAAACTCCACAGACTCCTCCAAAATACTACTCAACCTAATAAGCGAATTTAGCAAAACAGCAGGATACGAAGTCAATATTCAGAAATTGAAGGCATTTTTGTATACCAACAATGAAATATGAAAATCAGATATCAGGGAAAAAATCCCATTTGCTATAGCAACAAGAAAAATTAAGTACCTAGGAATAAATTTAACCAAGGAGGTAAAAGACCTGTATGCAGGAAAGCATACAACACTGAAGAAAGAAATGAAGGAAGGCACAAATAAATGGAAGCATATACCATGTTCATGGATTGGAGGAATTAACATCATCAAAATGTCCATAGTTCCCAAAGCAATGTATAGATTCAATGCAATCCCTTTAAAATACCAATCACATATTTCACAGACATAGAACAAACATTTCAAAAATAATATAGAACCATAAATGACCTCAAGTAGCCACAGAAATTTTGAGAAAGAAAAACAAAGTAGGAGGGATCACATTATGTGACCTCAAACTATATTACAAGTCCACTGTAATCAAAACAGTTTGGTACCAGCATAAAAACAGACACATAGATCAGTGGAACAGAATAGAGAGCCCAGAAATAAATCCATGTCTCTCTGGTCAATTAATATTTGACAAAGGGGGCAGAAGCATAAAATGGAGTAAAAATAGTGCCTTCAACAAATGGTGTTGGGAGAGCTGGACAGTTACATGCAAAAAATTGAAATTTGACCACCAACTTACACCATACATAAAGATAAACTCAAGATGGATAAAAGACTTAAATTTAAGTTGTGACATCATAAAAGTCCTAGAGGAGAATATAGGCAGGAAACTCTCAGATATCCCATGCAGCAATATTTTCACCGATGTGTCCCCTAGAGCAAGGGACATAAAGGAAAGAATAAACAAATGGGATGTCATCAAAATAAGAAGCTTCTGCATAGCTAAAGAAAACATCAGCAAAATGAAAAGGCAGCCAACTATATGGGAAAATGTATTTGCCAATGATATCTCTGACAGGGGTTTGATTGCCAAAATATATAGAGAACTCACGTGTCTCCACTCCAGGAATACAAACAATCCAATTAAAAAATGGGCTAGGGACCTGTATAGAACACTTCTCCAAGGAGGACATACACAAGGCCCGGAGACATATAAAAGGATGCTCAGCATCACTAACCGTCAGAGAAATGCAAATTAAAACCACAATGAGATACCTCTTCACACCAGTCAGAATGGCCATCATAAACAAATCGACAAACAACAGGTGCTGGCAAGGTTGTGGTGAAAACAAAACCCTAGTACACTGTTGGTGGGAATGCAGACTGGTGCAGCCACTGTGGAAAACAGGTTGGAATTTCCTCAAAAAGCAAAAATGGAACTGCCTTTTGACCCAGTGATTCCACTGCTGGGATTATACTCTATGAATCCCAAAACACCAATTCAAAAGAACCTATGCACCCCAATGTTCATAGCAGCACAATTTATAGTAGCCAAGTGCTGGAAGCAACCTAAATGCCCACCAGTAAATGAATGGATCAAAAATCTATGGTACATTTACACAATGGAATACTATGCAGCAGAAACAAAGAGCGAGCTGCTACCCTTCACGACCGCATGGATGGAACTGGAGAGCATTATGCTAAGTGAAATAAGGCAGGGGGCAGAAGACAAATACCATATGATCTCACGTATAAGTAGAACCTAATCAGCAAAACAAGCAGGCAAGGAAAATATGACCAGCAACATTGAAAGAAAGAAGAAACTGATGGGGATGGGAGGGAGTAAGGAAGGGGGATAGCAGGGAGGAGAAGGGGAGTTGTCAGATCAAGGAACAGGTGTGAAGGACACAAGGACAGAGAGAAGGTAGGGAAGGATTGAGCAGGGGAGGTGGTGGGTGGTGCAGGGGAAAGCGGAGGTGGGTAAATGCAAACAAATTTGAAAAAATTTTTTAAAAAGAAAAATTTTAAAAAGAAAAAAACATAAAAATAAATAAATAAATAAATAATCAGTAAACCTGCCATGGGTACAGCTATCATGCGACAATATGAAAGACAACTCAGCATAGCATCAGGAGAAAAACGTAGCATCCAGAATGGCAGCCACTGGCCCTAGCCCCTGGTGCATAGCAGCCATGCTGTAAGCACTCTATCCCTATCTGTGGTTAGTGGCCACAACATTGGACAGGGCAAACACAGAACATTTCCTTCAGAGCAAAAGGTTGTATTAGATATAACTGCTCTGGAATAATCTCTAGTTCTATCTCTTTAGCCATGTTTCTCATTTTTAAAAGAATAAAATTAGTTTCTGTTTGGTTAGCTCATCCCATTTTTTTTTCCCTTTTTCACACCTGCTTTGATATCACTGACATCACCATTGTCTCATGTGCATGACTGAAGTATACAAAGCCCCAAGTCGCAGGAATTACTTTCTCCAAGAATTACTCTGTCCCTACTGTAGGGAAAAGTGCATGGATTGTGGAGTTTGGAGGTTTATGCACATATTCTGATGATCTCTATGGCCTAGGGCAATGTATTGTACATCAATTTTCTCATTTACAACTGTGGAAAATTTCACCTCCAGACTTATGAGAATTAAATGAAATAACAGAATATAAAGGCCTAATATGGTACCTGCTACAGAGCATGTACTCAATAAATTTTACCCTCTTTTTCCATCCATCCATCCTTTTTTTATTTTTGTCTCCAGTTTGGCCAAACTGGCAAGAGCATAGACTTTCAGGGAGAGCATGGACTTCCAGGGAAAGCATTCACTGGTCTTCCCAGAGTTCAGAAGCTCAGAGGCAGAGGAGGACAGCTAATCAGTTGGGGGAAACTAACTGTATGGTTAAGAGACTTGTTTCTTTGTTGGGAAACCAAAGGTCAAAATTCAAGATTTTGAGCAAGATAATACAGGTCCTTTGGTAGTAAATTGCATAGGAAAATCAGTTGAGCCCTACATGAAGGTAGCAGACAAAAATCCTTAAGGAAAATACTGTAAATGCCTCCTGCATCAAGAGGTTAGAGAAGCAAAGTAAGCCAGGTCTGACAATCATCCAGGAATTATCCTCATGGATAAACAGGAATCCTATTTTTTCTAGACCCAAAAGAATATTACAGGCTGAGGAATTTTTCAGTGTTTGCCTTACCACAATTTTACTTTAACCTGTACATGAAATTGATGGAAGTCATTAACTGTCACTCATTATTCCTGTAACCCACACTACAAGATTCTGTTCCACGGTGAGATAATTTATGCATATATAATTTATACATACAGGTACATACAATAGTGGGAAGAAACTGGAGCACATGTTTTGCAAAATTATCCTGTGCACCTGCATAAACATGTGCTTGTAGACACGTGTCCAGCACGTTGTGCATGCCTCCCCAGCCCTGTAAGTGAGAACTAATTTGCAGCTCAAGTGCTTTCTATCTTCTAGCTCTGCCAGACTTGGCATGTCTCTCTTGCAGACCAGTTCTTTCCATTGTCATAAGCTGGTTCTGCACTTTTGAGGCCACATTCAGACACAACAGCACGGAAGAGAGGGGGATGGACTGTTTATCCCATGTGCCTCTTTTCTCAAAAGGCCCCAGAACACTTCTCAAATTTCACTGGGTGGAATTACAATAACTACCCATATGTGATTCAATACTAGACAAGAAAAATTGGATCACAATTATTGGATCATGGGTAGTGTGACCTTTATCAAGTCTCATGGGTCAGGGCTGGACACAGGATGTATAAAATGCTCTGTATCAGGAGAAAATGCAGGAGTGGCTCTTAGGCAAACACACTTTTTTTTTGCAACAGTTCTTGAAATTTTGG